ATCATAATAATTTGCTTTTTAATTGTAGATGATGCAAACTGCTTAAGAAAAAAATTTCTGTAGCTTTTTGTTTTATAAACAGTTTTGAAAAATATTTATCATCTTATTTATAATTAAACTGAACAAAATTATATCACAGATTATTACAAATACAGATGCACTTAATTTCACAATTGCTTGATGCCCCTTTAAAACCTCCTCGCACCTTCCAGGTTGGAGACCAGTGTATAAGAACTCCACAAGGGAGCTTGCATAACAGGGGTTCACTAATCATCAGTACAAAGATCCCTAATCAACGAGTGTTTCGGCCCATTACTTCCTTTACAGTCTCAAAAGGTGGTTCATGGCTCCAGGGTTCTTTCCCTGCTGCGCTTTATCAGACGTTTGGAAACTGATCTAGACCCTCTATCATTTGCACAAAGATATGGGTTTTACCCGGTGTTATCCATCCATCCATCCATCCATCCATTTATTTATGAAAAACACAACAAAAAATCAATCATTTTCAACCTGCTGCGAGCAGTATCGGTTAAAATTATGGTCTGGTTTTTTTGTGCCATTTATGTTGGTAGAAAAATGTTAATTGCACCAAAACTAATGGCTTGGACCTGTACTCCAGTGCCTAGTGAGGGTTACTTGGGAGGGGGATGGTATTCACTATACGCACCCACATTCATATATAGACATACCTATACAATTACGTATATATATACATAGCATATATGTCTTTGCCTGCCCACACGGGAATGCACATATACGTGTTTGCATACACACACATGTATAATGTAAATTCTCTTCTAATAATAACACATTTAATACAATTTTATACTGGGAGCCACGTTAGCGCAGTCGATAGGAAAATCCAGCAGCCACGGTCGGTGTTCGAAACCGGGCAGTTCCCGGGGTTCACCCAGCCTCTAGGAAATGGGTACCAGAGTTAACACTCTGGGGTAAATGGAGGAACATCGCTGTTTCTACAGAGTTACGTGCGGACTGCGACACAGGCGGACAGTTTCTTATCAGCTGTCCATACTGATGGCAGAGCACTTATGGTTTATAACCGTGCGCAATGACGCTGGTTCACATCTCCCGACTTTACCTTTACCTTTATACAAAAAAGTGGTTTACATTGTGTAATTTTCAATTACTTGCAAACAGGTGATGAGAACATGTGTTAAATGTTAGATATGTTTAATATTGTTGTTTGTTTTCCATTTTTTGAACAGGCTAACAAGTATAACAAAACTGCAGAAAGAGGAATAGTTATTACAGATAAGTTTATCTACAAGTTAGATATTAAAAAGAAGTTCAAACCTATGACAAAGGGAACTCCACTTACAGATGTAAGTTAAACTTTTGTTGCCTTTTGTCCTCATTTAAATATAAGCAAGTGGTAACATTTATTGGGATGTAAATGGGATGAATACATCACAAGTAGAAGTAACACAGAAATGTCTGGACAACCACTGGCATCATCAAAGATAATGAACTGTATTGGGCAGTGCATATCCTGAGAAGAGGTGAGCTGAGAATCACCTAGCAGGCACTGAAATAGGAAACAAGTGGATTGAGAAAATGATGACATCCAAGAGGGACATTGAGGAGAGTCACCATAGGTGCTGGACTAAATTCCATCTGTGGTATCAAGGGTTGCACAGGACACAAGGGAATGGAGGACTTGACTGCAAGCCCTATGCGACATGTTATGGCACAACTGGATGGTGATAATGATCATTTGTTAATTTTGCACATTAAGCTTTGGATAATAATAATGTGAGGTTGATGTTAATTACAGCATGTCTGAAGCAGATTAAGTGGATGAATTCGTTGCCAGCTGGATTTGATCTTTTATTAATTAGGCTATTCTCAGTGTGAAATATTGGAAGCTTGGGATCAGATGGTTGAAACATCTTCCTTGTCAGTATGGGATGAATACTAGAAGTGTCTTTCATCCTTCATGCCTGTAAAATACAAATAGTTCTGTTATTGAAGATAATTATTTTAATTAATTTGTTGTCCTGTTACACCATTATGTGTCACATAGGGCTCACTGACTATTTCTTCATTCCGTTCAGTCCTGTGCAATCACTTTGATATCATGGATGGAATCCATTCCAACCATTTAGGCTTCTCTCTTCAGGCATTTACCTTAGGGGTCTCCTGGGCAACTCCTCATTTTCTCAGTCCCTGTGTTTCCCATTTCAGTGCCTGTTGGGTGATTCTGTATTCAGATCTTCTCAGAATGTGTCCAGTATAGCAGCATCTTCTCTTTATTAGACCTGTTTACCAGAATGGCATCCTTCCCTACGAGTTTTTGTAGCAAATAATATTAGTTTACTGGGTAAGGGGGTATAGGCCCCATGCCCAACCCTCCTCCTTTTTCATCCGGACTGGAGACCGGCAATGGCAGAGGTCAAGAAGGTTATCTTGTCATGGAATAAAATTTTTAATGCGCAGAAGAAACTTCACTACAGTTATGTTTTTTTTAAATGCTCATTTAGGTAACAGGCCTAAGTTTAACACCTGGAAAGGATCAGCTGGTAATAATTCACCTGAGTGGAGGCAATGACCTAGTCTTGTGTCTAGAGAACCCTGCCCAGGAGGAGCGTGTAGGGGAGTTGGTTGGCGTCTTGAGCTCTCATATGCACAAGTAGGTTTGCACATTTTGGAATAGTCTATTATATTTTTTATACATGATGATATAATACATGCTGCAGGAGATCACAGATTGTGGAGAGGCATGATCGCCCACCCCAGTTGGCAATGCACTTGATGATGATGATTGATATCTTCTCCTCTTCCTTTTCTTCTCCACCTCTTTCTTTTCTCATGCTCCTCCTCTTCTTCTTCAGCAGCAGCGGTGGCTTCGTCATCATCATCTTCTTCTTTATCTTCTTATTCTTCTTTGCTTTTACAGGCTGTATTTTTCTCTGCCTTAACAGGCTGTAAACTGGGGGAGGGGGGGGGGGGGGGGGGGGGGGGGGGGGGGGGGGGGGGGGGGGGAGGGGGCGGGGGGGGTGTTCTTGTTGTTTGTCCACATTTGGACTTTGGTGGTTTTGTTCCAGAACTTGAATTTTGAGTGCATACCTGTTTCACATATCTGGCTTATTTGTATATAGACTGTTGTTTCCTCACTATTCAAGCAGATGTAATCTGACTTTGAAGGAAGCATTCTTAATCAGTTGACTCTTACAACATGCTTATTAGGAGGCAGTTGGTATTCACACACACACACACACACACACACACACACACACACACACCCCCCCCCCCCTCCCACCCAATGATGCTCTGGAACTTACACAGGGAGATTATTATATTATATTGACTATCTCCTGGCCACTGTGCCATCAAAACTTTGACTGCTCCCAGCAGACAAACCAGCTGTCATCTACTATTAGTTTTTAAAATGTGTGTTGCTGTTCTGCAATATTTCTTTCACTATATTTTGTATAGCTCTTTTTGGTTTCCTGCATACAAGGCAGACATGATAAAGGGGTTTTGGGAGCCTGTGAACAATACAGAAGAATGAACAGATCACCACAGTCTTAAAAAGGTTGATGCAAATGGGAGTAACCAAGGCAAACATAATCAGATGGTATTAAAACTCAGTGCCCGCTGCTGAAGAAGGGGATTTAACATTTATGAGAATGCTAAGATATTTGTCCTTCACTCTGGTTCACTGTGAGCTTTTGTGTATAATTGTATTCATCTGATATCTTCCTAGGGTGTTGAAGAAAGACTTGAAAGTGAACATCAACAAAACACTTAACTGCATGCTGGGTCACAAGCCTCGTACAGTTACAGTCAAGGAAACGGCCCTGAATGGTGGAACTGTGTTCAAAAAGGAAGGGGATGGATTAGCATTACAGTGGCCCAGTGCTTAAAGCTGTTAACTGTAGACTACTGAGTTTGTCAGTGTCTAGAAAGTCTAAGCTTAGTTTTATCCTTTCATTTATGTTTGGAGCGAGCATCTGTTGGGCTGTTGTTAGTTGATTAGCAAATACCTCCTGTAATATACCTCACAGGAGGAGCAGCTCTTCTTTAAGAAGTTGTATCATTTCATGACCTTTTCAGTTTTTTTTTTAAATTTTAAATTTTATATATTTAAGGAATGAGTAATTTTAAAAGTAAACTGCGGCCATTTGAATGGTTGTAATTAGATACTAGGACAGAATGTTTGTCCTCTTTCCTCTTGTTTTTCTGACTTTTGTCACCTTAGTTGAGCATGAGATTTCTGCAGGCCCATGCCAAATGCTTCCTCTTTTACCATCTCCTGCAATTTTCTCAAGTCTGCCTTATATTATTCACCCATGTCTTTAATTCTTAGCCCTCTGTGTTATTTGGTATTCATTTTGTTTCACATACCCTGTGGGTTACAAATAAAGGACTTTGAAGTTAGATCATTTATGTGTATCCTCTCCAGCGATGATTATCTTTTAGGATTCTTTATGATTTGTTTAGTACACTTGATAAGTTTCAGAATAATGATTCTGTTTAACTGTTATATTCCTTATATTCTTTTGTAGTGTCAGTGATTTAAAAAAAAATTATTGTTGGTTAGTAGTTGTTTTAGTTGTATGTGTATGACTATTCCACTACTTTAAGTGATGTTTTATCATTTCCTTCATTTATTCTAACTTAATCATTTTAAAAAAACGGTGAAAGCCTTTGACAGTGGCAAAGCTGCAGGTCTATATGGTTTCTGAGTTTCCATTCTTGTTCTCTTGTTGTTAAGTTTTGTTGTAGCTGACAGTTGTTAAACAAAGTTCAGTTCATACTGCATAAACTTGGGAAAAGTGAATGTTGATGTTCATTATGTTCATTTGAGATGGGGAGAGCTGCAGTGAGTCATGGTATGGATCTGTTTGAGGGTGGGGAGAGCTGCAGTGTGTCATGGCATGGATCTGTTTGAGGTGGGGAGAGCTGCAGTGAGTCATGGCATGGATCTGTTTGAGGTGGGGAGAGCTGCAGTGAGTCATGGCATGGGACTGTTTGAGGTGGGAAGAGCTGCAGTGAGTCATGGTATGAATCTGTTTAAGGGTGGGGAGAGCTGCAGTGAGTCATGGCATGGATCTGTTTGAGGTGGGGAGAGCTGCAGTGAGTCATGGCATGGATCTGTTTGAGGGTGGGGAGAGCTGCAGTGAGTCATGGCATGGATCTGTTTGAGGTGGGGAGAGCTGCAGTGAGTCATGGCATGGATCTGTTTGAGGTGAAGGAGAGCTGCAGTGAGTCATGGCATGGATCTGTTTGAGGTGGGGAGAGTTGCAGTGAGTCATGGCATGGATCTGTTTGAGGGTGGGGAGAGCTGCAGTGAGTCATGGCATGGATCTGTTTTAGGGTGGGGAGAGCTGCAGTGAGTCATGGCATGGATCTGTTTGAGGGTGGGGAGAGCTGCAGTGAGTCATGGCATGGATCTGTTTGAGGTGGGGAGAGCTGCAGTGAGTCATGGCATGGATCTGTTTGAGGGTGGGGAGAGCTGCAGTGAGTCATGGCATGGAACTGTTTGAGGGTGGGGCGAGCTGCAGTGAGTCATAGCATGGAACTGTTTGAGGGTGGGGAGAGCTGCAATGAGTCATAGCATGGATCTGTTTGAGGGTGGGGCGAGCTGCAGTGAGTTATGGCATGGATCTGTTTGAGGGTGGGGAGAGCTGCAGTGAGTCATGGCATGGATCTGTTTGAGGTGAAGGAGAGCTGCAGTGAGTCATGGCATTGAACTGTTTGAGGTGGGGAGAGCTGCAGTGAGTCATGGCATGGATCTGTTTGAGGGTGGGGAGAGCTGCAGTGAGTCATGGCATGGATCTGTTTTAGGTGGGGAGAGCTGCAGTGAGTCATGGCATGGAACTGTCTGAGGGTGGGGAGAGCTGCAGTGAGTCATGGCATGGATCTGTTTGAGGTGGGGAGAGCTGCAGTGAGTCATGGCATGGATCTGTTTGAGGTGGGGAGAGCTGCAGTGAGTCATGGCATGAATCTGTTTGAGGGTGGGGAGAGCTGCAGTGAGTCATGGCATGGATCTGTTTGAGGGTGGGGAGAGCTGCAGTGAGTCATGACATGGATCTGTTTGAGGGTGGGGAGAGCTGCAGTGAGTCATGGCATGGATCTGTTTGAGGGTGGGGAGAGCTGCAGTGAGTCATGGCATGGATCTGTTTGAGGTGGGGAGATGTGTCAAAGATTCTACCCAAAGACTGTCTTTAATTGTTAGAAAATGTATGTTGGGCATCTATGTAATTGTGTTACAGAAATTCTACAGCAAACGTTTCTGTATAAAAGAATCATTTGTTATACAGAACATGTGTTGTATGTTGATTACAATTTATCGTATGTTATTTATTATGCATTTAGGCAATGTTATTTATGAGTGGTAATAAAACTGTGTTGATTCCTCATTGGAAAAATGACTTACTACTGAAAATGTGTTTGTCATTTGTCTTAAGAAGTCATGCTATTAATTAAATATAAAGAAATGGTATACTTCCAGCATGCATTTGATAGCAGCTATTTCTAACAGTCTAATTAGAAAACATAAACATATTGACCGTAGTTTATGATTATACAAAGAAAATGGGACTTTATATATGAAAGCTGTGCGTGTAAACAAATATGTTCTTGTCAGATCACATTGAAAATAAGCTAAAATATTACTTACTATACTTTGTGTTGAGTTTCCTACCTTCTTTCTCAGTCAATCACAAAAAGATTAAAAATAAAAATTATAATATTACAGTATAACCAATGCTACAAAATAAATGTTTTTTTTTTCTGTCTAGGGGAAATTTAAAAAAGAATCTGCACAGTCCTTGGCGACTGCACTAGCCCTGTGCAGGCTTTAAGACTGCCTCCCCCTTACAACACAGCAGTTGTAAATATAGGCAGGCCGTTGTTTTTTAGTGTTACCATCTGATGGAAAACCAAAACTACCTGTGAATGAATGTGTATACAAACATGCAAATAATATTCTCTAAGTAAAGTAATAGATTCAGTGTGTGTGTGTGTGTGTGTGTATATATATATATATATATATATATATATATATATATATATATATATATATATATATATATATATATATATATATATATATATATATATGTATGTATGTATGTATGTATGTATGTATGTATATATATATATATATATATATATATATATATATATATATATATATATATATATATATATATATATATATATATATATATATATATATATATATGTATATATATATATATACCTGTTCTTCCTATAAAACCTGAAGTGACCTGTACAAGGTTTTGAAAAGCATACATTGTTATGTATTATTAAACTTTACCCTTTAAAAAAATTTATTTTTGAGTGAGAGAAGAAGATCACAACTTTTCAGCTAAGTGATGCTATTTTTGAGGATTTTTTTCTTCTTCATTTCTGATCCTTGTTTGTTTGTTTTTCCCGTTTCCTTCCTTTCTCCCTTCTTCTATCTTTAATTCTCATTCTTATCACTGGTTGAAATTTATACTGGGTGCAGATTAATTTCTTATGTAAAATGATGTAGTATCTTTTTTCCAATAGTCATTTTGTGCTGTGAAGGAAACTTATACACCATGCTAGATGGCATTGGTCATCATTTAAGTCATCAGCTGTCTGCCTGTATTCCTCTTAAACTTTTGCATTATCACAGCATGTTCGAGTGTTTTTACTCTCATGATTTACCCATGGCGTGTGAACTTTTTCTGATTGAAATAAACAGTTCTCTTAGTGGATTAGTTTCTTCAAGACATTTTTTTTTTTCATCTTCTATCCTGAATGTTCTCAACATTTGTCTGTAAAACCACACCCCTGCAGCTTTCACATGTTTTTTTTTTTACTAATCAGTAATTAATAATAAACCATTTGTTCTTCTCACATTTTTATCTTATGTTTTGATTGATGATCTTGTATTGTTCTGAAGTAAACAACAATGACAACAAATCATCAGTACTGTTCCATAAATGGACCTAGAGATAGTCTTACATTGACTGGTTAGTATATTGTATATCATTTATGTTACATTGTAACCCCGTCAACAAATGCCTGCAGAAGTTGGATTTGTCGGCCAAAAGATGCAAATATTCAGCCATATTGTAAATAGGCGCATCACAATTATATCTTCGGATGAACGCAGAAAAAGAAGAATTGTGTTATATTTTCTCTCTTTTACCACTGCCCTTTTTTTGTTGCCTTTGCAGATAATCATCTTTGCCTTTTTGCTGTACTTTTATATAAATAGTGTGATGACTGTGTAGGATCTGTGATAGTTCTACATTTGTGCTGTAAAAAAATATTTCATACTTATTTTATTCAAATCCATTTTCTCTGCCTGCCTATTAGTTGATGTAAATCCATTTCTTGTGTCTGGTTAACAGTTATAAATCTGTTTCCTGCGTCTGTTTAAATGTTGATATAAATCCACTTCCTTTCTAAAAGTTTGTGTAAATCCACGTCATGTACCTGATAATTGACATAAATCTACTTTTCTGCCTAATAGGTGATGTAAATGTACCTCTTGTTTTTCTGTCAGTTTATATAAATAAATCTACTGTCTTGTCTTAGAGTTGATGTAAATGTACCTCTTGTTTTTCTGTCAGTTTATATAAATAAATCTACTGTCTTGTCTTAGAGTTGATGTAAATGTACCTCTTGTTTTTCTGTCAGTTTATATAAATAAATCTACTGTCTTGTCTTAGAGTTGATGTAAATGTACCTCTTGTTTTTCTGTCAGTTTATATAAATAAATCTACTGTCTTATCTTGTCTTAGAGTTGATGTAAATGTACCTCTTGTGTTTTTCTGACAGTTTATATAAATAAATCTACTGTCTTATCTTGGCTTAGAGTTGATGTAAATCCACTAAAATATTAACTGATAGCAGTGTT